TCATTTTCAAACAACCACAATCCTGATTTTCTCAGCTCAGTGGGTTGCCTCTACAAGAAAAGATCTATGCAAAAATATTTAGACTACTTGAAATAAAAGCCTAAGTGAAGTATCTCAGTAAGATTTTAATTATTATACTTTCAATGCTATGACAGTCTCATTTCTCAGCTTCTATATAAAGCCTAACAACATGTGGCAGGATTATTACACATGCAAATATATGTAAATGAGGTATTCAGAAAAATCCGATCCGTTGTTTTGGGATAACATTCTGCCCTTCAATTACAACAACAAATTGAGAAAACAGAGAACAATACTGTGAACTAAAAACATTTTGTGTGCAGAGGATTATTAAGAATTTTTTCTCCCTTATGCAACTAAGTACTCAATGTCCCCCATTCCCACTGAGAGTGGAAGACCTCAGCACCAAAGAATCAGGCTCATCCAAAACTCATTATTCTGCAGAACCATACAAACATGAGTTACCACAGTGTCAACCTACTTACAAGCAAAGTTACAACAGCACCAGAGTTTTCTACCTTTACCTGACAGGGAGCATCACAGTCCTTGCTAAACTCTTGACAGCTGCTCCAGGCTTAATCCTGCTCTTCACATAAGCCAGTGCTCAAAGCAGAGACTGTATTATGCCACTGTTGCATAGTAAGAGAAGCTCTAAATTCCCTGACCAGCCTGAGCAGGCAGCTCTGTCACCTCTGTGAGCTCCAGTGCCAATGCAAGAACACTCCAGCCTGGCCCAGCACCCAGGGCCCAACCTTGGCCCAAGGGCTTTGCAGAACAAAAAATAAAGACTCCTGTCTCCAAAACTTTGTAGCATCTACACATAAAACATGGGCAGGGAAAAAAAATACCAACACCTAACCAACCCAATCCTCCACTCCAGTTAACAATACAACGTTTTGAGGGGATCAACCTCCTAAGCTTTCTGACACTGCGTGCAGTGGAGTGTGTGTGTGTGTGTGTAATGGGGTTGTAGACATGAAAAGGAAAGTGTAGGTGTATCTAATCAGGAGATGGGTGGAAACTGACCCTGCCGCCTGAAATAAGCAGGCTGGGGAAAAAGGGAGCTCCTGAAAAAGGAAGACTGAGGCCTAAGAAGACATCTGACATGCCAGAAACTCCGGGTCAGGAGTGAAAGATGCACATTGGCTACAGCTATTTTTAAAAATGCAACATAAATGGCAAAACAGTGCCCAGAACACGAAGAAAGATGACTTATATCTTGTTAATATAGTTGAAACAAAGACACCAAGGAAAAAGGGGGTGAAAAAATGCTGATGGGGTAGGAACTTTCAGAAATTTAAACAGTCCAAGACAGAACAGAAGCAAAACAAACAAATATCAATAACATATCTGTTTAGCAACTTTTCCTTGCACACAGCCCTCTGCATGTGACACAGGCAGAAGGGGACTCTGAGAAGCAACTCCTAGAGCTTCCCTGCTCTGAGCCCTGCCCTTTCACTGCTGCCCTATGGGGGGGGCTTAGTATACTAAAGAATTTAATTACAACATTTCCTTTTGCACTTTTGCAATTTACCTCGTGGACACGGCCAGGCTGATAAGGGCTTTTTTTTCCTTTTCCAAACTGCTCGGACACAGCATCTACTCTTAAAAAGCAGACGTAAAAGGATCAAGCAGGACCAACCCAACGAGCAAATAAATCACAAGGTTTAGCCAAGCTCAACACAGCTCATGTAGGCAATGTTAAGCATAAACTCCAATCACTGTGCAGCCTCGCTGCAGGATGAAGCTCTGGGCTTGACTCCACAAAATATGGAAGATAAGGAAATAGTCTAGATGCCTTTAACAGGTCTTAAGCTTCAGCAGTAAGCTAGACTGAAGCATGTGGGCTCCTGCTCATCCATGCCTGACAAAACAGTTCTGCAACAGGTAAGACTCCTGCCATTCCAATAAGAAGCACTGACAATTTCACAGCAGCCCACAAAACCATACAGAATAATCCTCTGACAATATAAGCCTCTGATAAAATATAACTGAAGGCTAATTTCTCAGCAATCCAAGTCTGCTGACTTCCTACTCATAGCAAAACCTTCAGCAGCCAAATCTTACAAGCAGTAAGGGTGCAAGGCACACAAGGGTGTGCAGTGCCTGCAGCTCCCTGACTGAGCCCATCACCTCTCACTTCAATGTCCTAGTGAGCAGGTACAGAGCATGGGAAGCAAACAAAATGTTTGTTACTCTTCCTAAGTGTCATAAATCTGAATACTGGGAGAAAAATAAAGAAAGAAAGGAAAGCAGAGCAGGAATTTCTGCCACAAGAGCAGTGCCAGCACAGTGACACAGGTGACATCAAGGCATGGACACAGCCCTGTGCAGTTCAACACCTGTTACCTGTCAGGGCAGAGGAGCCCCAGAACTGCTGGCACACATCCAACACCAAAGAAACAAGCTGTGTCACAACAGGGGGAGGTACCAGCAAAACAAACAATGACGGAAGACAGGAATCAAAAAACAGAGTTATATTGCTTGACTATAAATCCTGTGCTATGTAGTTCTTGTCATTATTAAATCACAACTTTTCCATTCTGTGTGTTGTTTCTCTGTTCTTTGTAGCTTGTATAGCCCATATGTTCGTAACAGATGGATCAATGCTGTAATTCAGTGGCATTTTTCTAATTATAGATGGATTTATGAAATTCTTAAATAATTTTGAAGGAAATACTCCGTGCTGAGGGAAGGTGAGTCAGTGTAGCTTTACTGTCAGCAGCAAACACCAAAACCAAGAAAGTGAAATTGGTGTGGCTTTATTAAAAGGAAAAGGTCAAAAATTTATTTAAAACATCACAAAAAGATGAAGGAAACAAACAAGCAAAGTGTTGAGAAAGTGAGCACAAAACAACAACAAAAAAATTAAGTGAAAGTTGGATGTAGAGACAATCCATATAGGCTTGGTAGAACCTGGGGGTCCAGAGGACTCTCAACCCTGATGACTGAGTGTTATCTGCCAGACACTTCAAACAAATGATTTCTATTTCTTAAGCTTCATTATGTAATCTAGCCTCAGTGAAGTTAAATAAAATTGGAGAATTTAGGATTAAAGTAACACTGCGTGAAACAACTTCAGATACCTCATAACTTAAAGACAGTGTTTAAAGTTTGAATTTACACCCAACTTCAAGTTTGCTCTAATGATTTCAGATTTTTCCTGTCTCTTTACTGATTCTCATTTGAAGTGTGTTCTAATAGAAACTATTGAATGAAGAGTTAGTTTTTGAAACTTAACAACCTATTAATAATTTATAGTCATAAATTCCAGCAGTGTGGCAGCCTGAATGCTAAGCTGGCTTCTCCAATGAAAACAGCACTGACATCTGCTATAAGGGTGATTTACTGCATTATGCTTTACTGATTTCATCAAATCATAAACCAAGAAGCTCTGTGATAATCATATTAGTGATCTAAAATTTACATGGAGCTGATTTACAAATGCATTACATCTCTATGCTGAAAATTCAGTAAAAGCTGTTGTGTATTATTTAAAGATGTACAATCATCTGCATTTAACCTGCAAGTTGTCTCTCATTAATTTGTAACTTTGAGTGGAATCAACATACTTTAAACCTAGTATGTACAGACACATGCCATAGCCAAGACACCACGTCTGAGACTAAAGTAACAGCAAAATACTATGTTAACATGGCAAACACACACGGTGCTTTTCAAGGAATATCAGACAACATTCTGTCATTCTCTGTGAAAAAATCCCAACATTTGTATTTTCCAATTTCTACTTTGTGTTTCCTCTGCAAATTAAATCAAGTCGTTCATGTGATTTTTGCAGCTCCCAACATTACACAGATTGCATAGCAATACTGCATCAGTCTTAACCTTTCTGGCTCTTGGAGGCATGAGGGGATAGAGATCCCCATTTTTGGAAGGTGGCACTAAACTACTGAATAACTCTTCCAACTCTTGTGCACAAAGTTAACCAGCCCAGGAGTGTGCACGCTTTTCACAACTACTTTATTACTATCTCTGTTGATGTTAGAGTTGGCAAGAAACAAAAGCTTCAAATACAGCTCCAGGTAGATTCCTTCAATGTTTCTTGCAGCAGGAAACAACTTATTAAAGTATTAAAGTATCCAGACTTCATAAATCCCTTTGTTACTAAGAGCTGTTTTTCAGGGGACTCTCCGAACCAGTGTCCTGAATAAGCTAAAATTAGCTAATCAGAAAGCTAAGTCTTTCCAAAAGCAAACAAAAAACCCCATCAAACTCCAAGAACACTTCAACTAAATTATCTGGGAAAAGAGAGAAATGGTAAGACAAACGCTGCTTCTTGGTATCATCAATAAACTGATATGCACAACTTTTCAAGAACGAGGCACAGAATGGAGACTGTCATTTCAGAGGATGCTTTTCCCACCCAGGCAGGACAAACTGAAGGAGACAGCAGTGATCCCTCATCAGCAGAGCAGCCAGGCTGATCTAAAGCACGTCCAGGCAATCAGCACTAAGGGCTGAGCAGTTGTGCAGGCTGCAGCCCATGTTCCCAGAGCCTCTCGCAGGCCTAGAAGACCAACAGCACCATCCACCCACTCAAACTGGCATTCTTTGCTTTTATAAAATACACAAGAAAATAAGGAGGAATTACAAAAGCAATCTAGGTAAATGAAAGGTTTTGTTGCAGGAACTAGCTAACAGTTGCTAAGGAGGACTACTCAGGCTGCTGCTCGGCCCATCACTCCTTGTTTGACTGTGGTGTGCCATCCAAACAACCTCATGTGTTTCAAAAGTAGCTCTCATTTCACTGATCAAATACATATAAAATCAGCCACCTGCCATGTGAGAAAATGACTAATGCATCTTTTAAGCTCTTTGCTTCACCACTGAAGAAGCTTTTGAACACAGCACCATTTGAATTTGCTGAAAGAAACCTGCTTTTCAAAACAAGATTTCAAAGGGCTTAAGAAAACATACAAGGAGATGACAAAGATCAAAGGTAAATCTGAGTAACTTACTGCTGCTGCTGCGGCCTCCTCTCCACCTACATAGATAGAAGAAGCAATCTCCATCACAGACAAGTTTGTGGGAGCGTCTGTAGTGGATGATGATCTGGGCCGACCCGACTGAATATCCTGAGCAGACCTTCTGTTGATCTGTGGGCTGCCTTTCGGGGCATCTCCCTTGCCCCACCTGCTGTGCAGGCTGGTCCCTCTCTTCATTTTGGGTGGCACTCTGATCTGCTGAAGCACCCGGTTCAGAGCTGTGGGGTGGGTGGAGACACCATCAATTTCAGCACAGACGCTTTGGCTTTCCAAATCCAGGTCAGGCTCCAGCTCAGCCTGAGCTTGCTGGACATCATGTGGAGAAACAGACGACCTCCTGCGCTGATGCTGGAACAGGTGCTTCAAGCCTTGACCAATGACATTAATGTTCTCCAAAGCATTATGGGTTATTTTGGATAATTTTTGCTCTGATTCATGTTGTTTTTTAATCTCTTGATCTTGGGACTTGCCTCCAGGATCAGGGTCATCAGACAACTGTTCAGTGCCAGACGGCTCCATTGATGACACCCAACAAGTTTATTTGACTATTCATACATAAATATGTCCCCTTTCTTTAAAAGGCTCGTGTTTATTTTGAAAATGCCAAGATTGCCAGCCAATTAGGTGTGTAATTGCTTCAAGAGTGATTACACATGCAGCTGTGCCACGGTGATCTCATGCTTATCTAATGTTAAACAAAAGAGTAGTCATTATTATACATCCATGCAGCAAGTGTGGGTTAAAAATCCAATGCGCAAAACATGCCATTAACAAAATAAAATGTATCAGTCCTTGGAGCACCCCTCCACAGGGCATTAGTAGCATCTAGGCTGTATGCAGAAGCTGAAACTTGTGTGAGACAAGTCGCTCATTGCCTGGGGGGAGAAGCCCAACACAGAGGATGCAGGAAAGCAAGAAAGGTAAAAAAGCTGTTCAAAAGGGGGAGACGCAAGGAAAAACCAGTGGGGTTTTGTTTATTAAGAACAAGCCCATAACAACATCTAACAGAACGTGAGGTTAAACTTCTGAAGAGCATGTTAGTCATTTCAGCAGAAATAATTTTGCTCTTTAACAAAGATCTGATACTAAGACCCTCACTTAACCGTATTTAATACATGCAAAAAACCAGAATATTTCCAAATGAGTTATTAATTTCCAAACACTGAGAAATTACTTATTACAGCCAGCATCCACTGATGGCACTGGAAACTAGATCTGAAAATCTGTCTTCAAGCAAGAACAGGCAAGTGAAATGCTTTCAATTGGCATACTCTTGTCCACAGCTCCCAGAGGAAACAAGAATGCCTTTTGAAAAGTAGATTAAGCAACCAATCTGCAAGGGATCAGCACCAGGTATGTGCAGTTCAGTCTCTGGCACAGGAGCTGTGGTTCTTGGAGAGCTCAACCCGAGTCACTCCTGGGCTCAGGCAGGACTGGATTATTCAGCACTGCAGCTCAGCACTTGTATAGCAACAACTACAGGAGAAGGTCAGCAAAGAAATGGGGAAGGAAGGGAAGAAGGAAGGAAGGAAGGAAGGACACAGTATCTGGAAGAGTTTTACATCAGCACCATGAGATCACATGCTCAGAAGCTGACCACTGTTTTCTGCAGAAAAAAACTTTGATTAGGCTTCTACAAATACAGAAACCAGCTCACAGAGGTCTAACTCAATCTTGGCAGAAAGGAGTTTGTGCTTTAGAGAAGAATTATTTGAAGCTCAACATATTTGGGATTTGAGAGTATTCATTTCTATGCTAAAACAGCTGAAGAAATATAATGCATTGAGTTTACAATTGGAGTGCTCTCGATTTTGTGCATCTGAAGCCTAACACAATGGGTTAAAGAGGTATTCCAAAATGCTTTCCAAATTGCCATCTCAAAATATCAGAAGAGCTGCCTCTTTCTTTCTTTTTTTTCCAAGTGTCACTGCTATTAGTTGGAGGCAAGAAGAAACTCAGAACTTACAGAAAGCAGAACACTGGAATCATGAAAGATTTTATCTCAGTACTTTGAAGATGCTATAAGCATTGAGTCTAAATATACTGGCCAGTTTAATCAGTAACACATTAAATGTAGAGGAATAAAATATATTTACCCACATTCATGCAGCAATTGTGTGGCGGAAGAAAAAAAGATGTGCCAACAACTTACTTAACGCTTTCTTAAATGAATTTAAGTGCCTTTATGTCTAACAGTATGCTTTGACTTTTGAGCTTGCGCTTTCTTAATATTTTTTTTTCCCCTCAGGTAACAGGTTTTGCAGAAAGTTTATGTTTTGGGACAAAAAAAATCACAAAACTAGATGCTCATTTCTAACCAACAGACCAAAAGGTTCAATGAACAAAACTCACCATCTAAAAAAATCAAGAGTCCCAAAACTATTTGGTTTGTAAAACACAAAGCTGACAGCCGACCTGTAACGGCTTTTTTCATTTTAGCTAATTCACTCGGCATTTATTTTTCAGTCAAGACTCACTGAAGAACTGCAGTTCTTATCTAAGATGACCAATATACACTCCAGCCAGGATCTCTTGGATCTCCTGCACACTCTCTATCCACATTATCCCTGGTAATGCTGTTACTCTTAAAGAACAGCACTTGAGTCTAACTGGAGTTCCATGCATTATCTGCTAGAAAAAATTACCGTACTTAAAATTAACCCTATGGCAATCTACAAACCAACCTGAAACAAACCAGCCCACAGTGAGCTCACAAACAAGGCACGGCCACCCTGTGTATTGTGGGACAGATTTCTGAAACTATGTGGCCTCTGAGAGGCTCCTAATGGGAGCTCTGTAGTCATCTCCTATTTCTATTTCTATAGGATGACTCTATTGTGAGCCTGAAATGAGCTTTGCAAATTACACAGCTGGTATGAAGAGCCTTACAACTACTGATTTGTTCTAGTATCTACTTTTGGGGAAAAAAATACTCTTAAGTGTGAAGAACTGTGTATCTTCATAAATAATTAGCACACTTACTTGCATTAGGATTCAACTTCTGTGCTCGTTTTTGTTTTCTCTACTTACAACCACCTTTATATTCTGTTAGTGGGAGGAAACAATACCTTATGGCATAAAGTTCAAAAACTGTACATTTCTTATTTGTACAAGAGTATACTAGATCAGGAGCAAAATTCACAATTCCATATACAGCCAACTGAACAGATGTTATAAAATTATTACATCCCAGAACATTCTAATACAGTCCTTCATTTGTTTGTCCTTCAATTATTTCCCAGGAGCCCTGGGAAACAAAACAGTTCAAAAGGAAAAACTGGCAAAATCAGCACTAGATAACAGTGAAAGGATAAACTTGTACTTGCCTCCATCATTTGCCCTTTAGCATGGCTGACCCACAGCAGTCCCTCCACTGAACAGAACTGCAAAAGAAATTGGGTATGAGATACAATTCTGGAAATGGGAGGAAAAATATATATATTAACAACAAAGTGAGAGCATGATTTCAACTTTTAATATTTTTAATAGTATTTTTTTTTTCATTGAAATGCAAGTACCCCTGGAAGTTGTCCTATTTTAAACTCTTTCAAATAACAGAAGGGACACAAATATGACTAAAGTTAAAACTGAATCTTATGGAGTTAATCAAGAAGTTCTTGTGAAGGAGCATTTTCTCTTGGGATTTATGGCCACCCCCACATGCTGAAAGCAGAGGAAGACGCCAGGGCTCCAGCCTGCAAGGTCAGTCTGCACCATACAGATTTTATTTTCTTCTCCTGTCTAGTCATTCAACGCCCCCAGCACAGGTCAAACAGCTGGCTCTTGTTCACCTGGCATTCACCTGACAGGAGTAAAAGCTGTGAGCACTCAGACACACCTGCACCTGGCACAGCCCGTGGCAGCTGCTGTCTGGACATTTCTGCCAACAACTCAGTGCCAGGTGCTTGCTGGGAGATGACAAGAGGACAGCTGAGAGCAGACATGGTGACTGCACTTCTCTAGCCAGCCAAAACCCAGCCAAATCACCCAGACTTCCCAAAGATGAAAATTAATTCAACCAGTTCTTGAAAACAGGGAGTACACTATGCTTCACAGGAACACTACAAGAGCTCTGCACAACTGGGGTATTCTGACTGCTTTATTCCACATCAGATTCCCACCTCCAAGACAGAAAGAGAGGAAGAAAGGGTTAATCAGATCCACTGAAGTGGGATGCTAGGATATGAAGAAAGTGATGACAGCAATTATCAGGAACTTAGATAAAATGAATGAATACATTTTGGAAAAAGATCTTCATATTGAAGAAATTCCATTTCTATACTAGCACGAGTGGAGAACTAATATAATGTGTGAAGCATTGGTCATACTAGGTGTCACTAACAGAATTTCAGTCCCTCTATTTGTCTTTTTTTTTTTTGAGTTTTAATGATATTTTTATTTATAGTAACTGTGAGAGCTTTTGTCAGAAAGGTCTCAGAGATAAGACCTAGCACTACAGGACCTGCAGACCAGCAGCTGCTTTTGGCTCGAATAGTTTCACAGCTGCCATAGCTCAGAGTCTGTCCCAGAGGGCCCACAGGTGGCATTAGCACCAAAACTACCTGTACTGTCCCCGTGTGAATCACAGCTCTCACTGACGCATCACCAAAATTCCCATTTTCTGTCACAAGCTCCATTTTGAGAATTATTTTGAACTTTGAGAAACTATTGCACAGGGCTAATCAAAATTCCTTCACTTTTTGGTACTTAGAAAGCGTAGACATTATCTTGGCTTTACTTTTTTTTTGCCAATTCCTCCCACTCTTTCATGTTTCATTATCAAATACTTTGTAACATGAACATTTCAAAAAATTTGACAAGTATCAGTCTGAAAAGACTTCGGCCCATCAGATTTTAGTTAGATTTTATTCAAGTGATAGTTTACTTTAAATTAATCAGTTTAATTAATTCCCCTCAAAACCACAGTTCTTTGTAAACAAAGTGAACTCTGAAGCTACCATTGAAAACTAGTTTAGAGATTACTTATCTGCAGCTGAAGTACTTGTTACAGAAACAAACAGTTCAGGACTGCAGAAATGAATGAAGAAAAATTATTTTCAAGGAAAGGAAAGAGGAAAAATTCCGCCTTTTCATAGAATATTTCAAATACCTTTTACTGATGCCATATTTGAACACCATGAATCCTTAACAATAATGCTGGAGTACAATTACCTATTTAATCCTCACATTTATTCCATAAACAGGTCAATTTAACAGCTCATTATAGACTTGTCATCACAGCTAGCAGGGATCTTAGGAAGGAGATGCTTCCCACTCATCCTATTTGGTAAAAGAAAAGCATTTTTCAGTTGTTTCAGATTAGAAGTGATTTTTACTAAGAAATAGCCCAGCTCAGTTTGAGAAATCCCAGATTATTTTCAGAAACCCATCCCAAAATGAGTCTGTATCCAGGCAAACAGTTTAGCAAGAAAGACTAAAGAAGCAAGTCACACACTGGAAAGCACACACCTATTACAGGAATTGGGAACCCTGGCAAGTGATTTATTGCCAAAGGAGGATTAAGATATTTTAAAAGCATCATTGCTCAGCAGCACAAATAAGGAGAGAAAGCCCTGGGTGTTAACAGCTAAACCTATTAGAAAAAAAGAACTCATGAGAAACCAGAATGGGTGTGAAATTCAAGGGGGCTGTCATCTGGAAAACACTTAAAGAAGAAAACACCAGTAACAGAGTAAGTAATTTGACTCAAGAAAAAAAACTGGATAGTAACATGACTACCCAATATCTGAAGAAATGTGTATATTTAGCTATTATAATAGAAAAAATTGAAAATTTTGAAAAAGTCTGAATGGAAAATTGGGGCCAGAATGGAAGAAGACATACAAGAACTAATTAAATACAAATACCTTAGGTAAATGGCAGAATACAGGCAGAAAGAAAACAGAAAACAATACTATTTTAATGGAAAAGATACAGTTTTACATAGATAATTCTTCCTCATCCTCCTCCTCCAAAATTTACCCAAGAAAATATTTTTTGAATTCTACTGAAGTCCGAAAGAAAAACCAGAAACACAATATACAGATACACAAAGACCCTCCCCAGGCCAAGACCAGAAAGGGAGTATGGCTGAGAGAGCTGTTAAAGGAAAAGGCTGGCACTGTGTTTAGGTATGAATTACAGGATTTTTAAGATATTCAGGGACAAAAATGGCACTATGTCTGATCCCATACAAAACATGAAATGTTTCTTCTAAAATCCTCACAAGCCTAAAATAGCTCTATGCAGTCCAGGCACCTGTTCGTTAGAGGTGAGTATGTTACAAGGAAAAAGGAGTGAGAGCAGATCCCTGAGGTCACTCAATGGACATTAAGTATTGTCCTCCTCCTCCCTGGAGCAGGGGTGGGGAGGGACAGAGACTCAATTTTTCCCATGCCTTCCCATACACATTAAAAAATGGCAACTTCAAAGGTTTCATCAGCAGATTTTATGCTTTGGCACACCAAAAAGAGTTCACCATTTCTACACTGTATCCATTAATGTGCAAGGGCAGCACATACCAGAAGGTGATCTTTCAATATCAGCCTCTTCTCAGCTCCACATCCTGTTGAAACAGCTCCTTCCTATAACTTTGTGTTTAATGCTGCTGACCAGCCGAACAAATGTACACAGTTTATGTTCCTGAAAGCTCAAATATTAATGCTGTAGATAAGAGAAAACTTCACTTATTGTCACTCACAGAGCATATACCAAACATTCTCTTAGTGAGTGACAGATCCCTTTCTCCTTTAAATTTCTTTGTAAGAAACATCTTCCTGAGTACACCCACATCAGAATCAAGTACCTTCAACACCACCTGGGCAACCTCTACATTACTGATGCCCTATAAGAAGTATTGCTTGGTCATTGCTTTCAGTGTACAAAAACTGCTGGCTCTTCTGCAAAGTTAGAAGTTCACATCTAAGGACCACAGACAACATCATCAAAGATAAGACAATTTTCCATGTTTATTTGAGTAATAATAACTCAAAGTGGCTTAAAGTTGAGTGACTGGTTTTCAGAAATGGTTCTGCTGCTTTGCAGTACAACCAGTTGCCACTGACATCTTCTCCACCCCTGTGGGAACGTTTAGTAACTCAGTGGTTACACTGTTTGAATCTAAGCTATGAAGTAAAGTCTTTTGGAGAAAGACTTCTCCAGAATTACTAACCATGCAGAGGTACCAATACATAATCATTCTGGGTTTGCAATATGTTAAAACCTCACACGAAAACCAAAGCAAAACATTCCAGCTGTGTTCCTATATCTGATGAGCTGTCCATTTATCAGACTATCAGAAGCCTTTCCCGACTGCACTGCTGCATCTAGAGCTGGTGTGCCACAGAGTCTGACTGTGAGGCAATGCTGCAGGTTCCACAGCTCAGCAGAGCTTCAGCCTTCATTAATTCCTTAGCTACATAAAGTATTTCTAGGTTTATATTACCATAACATGTGAGCAGTTTGTGAATTCACCCTTGGAATCCTCCCACCTTAGGCCGAATTACTATTACTTTCCTAGTTTTCAGGTGAAAAAAACCCCACAGAAACATCAAGGAGCTGCCTATATTATACTTTTACAGCAGAAAACCAAACTTAAAATTTACTGTTATAAAGTTAATGCTATACTTTCATGATTTCTCCTGATGCTACCTTCAAATTAATTTATGAATAGTGTACAGCAGTATAACTGGAACCTACTCAAACCACTTAAAAATATTCTTTCCTGGAAAAGGCTACATGTAGGTTATTTTCCATCAAATTAATAAAAACAGTGCTTCAAGAAAGCTAAATCAATGTTAAAGATTTAACTACAGTCTTCTGATTCGTTGCCATAGACAACTTCATACGTCATATACATTTTCTTGAAATTTTTTTGTGAACATACTTAAAAATTGGGAGACCACTAAAAATGCAGTCTGCAGGGATTTTAAAAGAAAAACAAACTGGACAAAGAATTATTATAAAGACAGTCTGCTTTACTAGGTTCAAGAGGAAACCTGTAATTCAAAACTGTGTGGTCTGCCACAGGAGGGCCGACAGTTGACACTTCCACTTAATTTAGGGGCCTGTTTTGGAAAAGTGACATCCTCACCTACTCTTCCTCAAAACCAAAGTGAAGCTAAGCCAAACAGCAGCATTTCCTCAAAAACATCTCTGTTTTTTGCAAAAGGGAAAAATGCTGCACCCATATTTATATGTTCTATAAACCAGTCAAGTGCATGCTCTGAACTTAGGCTTTCACTGAAGGGACATCTCCAACCACAGTCCAAGCAGGGATCTGAAGCTGTCCTTCCACAATACAAGAAGTACAACAGAATGAGTAATTTAAGGAATTTCCAACCTCTTTTTGTCCCCTGGGGCTCATTTTCAGAACCACAACACG